TAGAGCCAGAGAGAGAAAACTTGTCAGAAGCAAGAATTACAATTGAGAGCCACTGGCCCTTCTCCTTGTTTGTTTCAGTGCCAAATTATGTTTTGTGCATTTTGCTTAGCCAGTAAGGTAAAACCACACATCGGGGAGAGGGGTTGCTATTCCATAAGGGGTCAAAATTGAAACCCCATTGTCCTGAATCAGACTTTCAGATAGGCTGACTCCCTGCATTTTTCCATGTCAGAATACTAAAAGAATATTTCCTTTATGCTAGTCTCGAGTATTAGAGACAGATCAAGGTCCACAAAGGGCTGTATAGCTGCATTTGCATGGAGAAGAATGGTATTAATATGTGTAATACAGACAGTTCTTACATTTGACTTTTAGAGCCAAAGAGAGACTTGGAAATGCTTTTCTGTCTACCTTCTGGTCTATTTCACTCAACCAACTCCATTGTCAGAAAGATTTCTCAAACTCTAGTCTTGTCATTCTAATTTATACTTACAGATGCAACTTCAGTTCTAAGAATTAGCTAATTTCATGTTTCATTTCAGTGCATGAAGAGGTAGCCCTTTTCAAAACAGCTCTTTTCACGCTTTCTCCTCCCAAGGGCAGCCCGAGGCCCTGCCACAGAGATTCCCCTGCCTCTTTACCCCTGCTTTCTCACTGCACTGCTCTAGAGATCAAACGAATCAACACCAAGTGGTCTCTTTCATCTCTTCCTCACCCTTTCCCCAGCCCCAGCTCAGCCGTGTAGTGTGTTGGTCCCCTGCGTCCTGCCAGCCAGCCTGCATTCCTGGGAATAGCCAAGCAAGTCTTGGAATCTTTGCACAGGTTGAGTTTTCTGTTGTTCTTGCTCAGCCCAGTATTTTTTGATTCATGAATATTAAATAATTAGAGATCACAAGGTCTACCTTCATCTTGCACCCTTTAAAAACATAATAGCTCCTTTATTTCATGGCACTTGACTTTGTTTATTCAGCATGATCACGGCAACATTCAGGCTATAGCAAGCCTGTTAAATATTTACCCATGAGGCGGATATTTATACATGAATCAGCAGCACTTATCAGTGTGTGACGCCAGATGTTAGGTTAAGTACCCTTACAAGCTAAGAAACTACTGAATCAAATAAAAGGCGAAATAAATTGTCCTTCCTAGTATCTAAAGCGCTTTACACATTGAAGCTAACTGAACAGCTAACTAAATCATTCAAAACTAGACATGACAGAGTGGGTGGTCCATCGTATCCAAGATCAAGTGAATCTGGGTGTTTGATGGTTGCACTGGGGAGTTCTGAGTTCTGAACAAAATTAAGAGGAGTGCTCATTCTTTTACTGTGTAGAAAACTGTGAAGGAAGATGAGTTGTACATCAGATTGTTTTAATGGTGGTCTGAGTGCCTCTAAGAGCCTCTTGTCATCATTGGAATCCTGACCCAGCTGACTGGTAGCCAGACCCACTGTTTCCTCCCATCCCTGCAGCTCTTTCATGCTTAAAATCCCCCAGCTCCCACTGGGGACCATGATCTCGGGGAACAGCTAGGTCAATTGGCATAACATACTTCTTAAAGAAAATGTTGTACATCCTACTTCGGTGAGTAGCGTCTGGGGTCTTAAAAGCTTGCAAGCAGCCATCTAAAATACATCTGTTGGTCCCATCACGTTCAGAGAAAAGGAAAATGAAGAAAACCAAAGATGCAAGGAAAATATCCATCCAAAGGACTAATGAACCACAGCTGCCACCAGCTTGAGCCCAAAAGAAATAGATGGTGCCCGGCTACTACCACGGACCGCTCTGAGAGGCATAACAATAGGGGTCCCGGACAGGGTGGGAGAAAAATGTAGAACAAAATTCAAATTCACGAAAAATGACCAGACTTACTGGTCTGACAGAGACTGGAGGGACCCCTGAAACTTTGGCCCCCAGACATCCTGCTGACTCAGAACTGAAGCCACTCCCGAAGTCCACCTTTCAGCCAAAAATTAGACAGGCCTATAAAACGAACAATAACACACGTGAGGAACGTGCTTCTTAGTTCAAGTATAGGAGACCTAAATGGGCAACACCTGCCCAAAAGCAAAGACAAGAAGGCAGGAAGGGACAGGAAACTTGGATGAATGGACACGGGGAACCTGGGGTATAAAGAGAAAGGGCAAGAGTGCTGACACATTGCAAGGATCACAACCAATGTCACAAAACAATTTGTGTATAAAGTTTTGAATGAGAAACTAATTTGCATTGTAAACTTTCACCTAAAATACACAAAAATATCCCCCTGCTCCCTAGGTGGCACAAGTGGGGTGCTCTCCACTACTAACCTGGCTGTTGGAACTCACCCAGTGGCACAGGGAAGAAAGCCCTGGTGATAAGCTTCTTTACAGCCAGGAAAACTCTATAGAACAGTTCTACTCTATAACACATGGGGTCACCAAGAGTTGGAATCGACTCAATGGAAACAGCATGGACTGTAGTGAAAGGCAGACCTGAGTTGAGATCTTGGCTTTACCACTTTCTAGTTGTTTGACCCTGAGATGCCTTCTTTTCTCTAAGCATTGATTTCTCAAGGTGTAAAATACTAATGATAATATCTGCCTCATTGGATTGTAGGAAGGATTAAATTAGATAATGTAAGAAAATACCTAGCAACATGTACTAGTTCTTGATAATCACAGAAGCAGAATGCAGAAAAATGGGTTAACCATCTCACTGGGCCTAGCAGCGAAACAGCTGGTCTTTGTATTTCTGTATACCTCTGCTTCTTTCGCTCATTATAGGTAATTTTTGTTTAATAGCTGATTTCAAAATGGCATGATATAAGCAAGAGAAAGCTTCAAGTTTTGAAGATTACCCATAGAGTATTTTCATGCCTTGTATGTAGTTCAGTGAATGATTAAGGACTTATCCGGTACTATTTCATACAGGTCAAAGTCCATTACAGTCAGTTCCAGGGAACTGTTCAAATTATTTTCTTTTTTGGAATTTTATTATGCCAAGGATTGTTCTGCTAAGAAAGTTATGAGTAGTCTGGTTCTTGACATTCTTTATATTATCCAGATATTTGATCAATAGCTACAGGATATAAATATTGGGTTTATTTTTCATGTACTATAGAACTTTCTTCTTAACCAGTGTCCAATCCTAATGGAATCATTAGGACTTTCCAGTTAGATGTGTGTCCTCTGTATACTCTGTGCGTATAAAAAGGAGACAGAGAGCCTTCCTCTGCTTCACAGGAAGTCATGGGAATTTTCCTAGCCTACTTCAGAGTTTAGGCTAAATCTAATCCAGTATCTATTCTAAAAGTAGTAGAAAGAAATGATGGTCTTATTGATTCTTTGCAATTGCTGAGTGTAGATGATTCGTAATTGTCATATATAGTCAAATGTTGTCTTATAATTTTCTCATTTGGCAAACTTGCTGTGTTTTTAGGTGTCATCTGAGTGGGAAAAGTCAGTAGTGAATATTTTCTATTCCACGCTGACTTCCTCATATCATCTGAGATTTTGTTTGTTGGGGTTTTTCATTCCCATAAACAAAGTCTTATTGGAATAAATATATAATTTACTTTTACCAGAAAAATTAACTTCAGAAAAATGTAGTCATAAAGAGACAGAGTGAGTCTCAAGTTCTTTTAATAGATATATATTGTTCCTTGTATCACAAATTCTAGACTGAGTTAATCTGTACTAAACTTTTAAGGAATGATTTTCTAGGTTATTAATTGTGACACCTTGGCCTCCATTTACCAGCTTGTAACTAGGGGGTGGGGATGGCTTGGATCATGAAGAATAACAGCATTAATTCATTTTGAGACTCTTTTTATATCCCACTATATTACAGAGAGGCTTTTAGGGGCTATAGAAACATATACCTTAAAAAAAAAAAATTAAGATAAGAAAAACAATTAGGACAAAAGGAAACAGAGTAAGAAAGAAAATGAAATCAGGATTAAGAGTGATATTATACAAAATGCTTGTTGTAAGGTTCTGAACGATTTATAGCCAGCATAACCATATGCTGGCTAATTTAAACTGAAAAACAGATCTTCGTGAAAGTTTCAGGAAACTTTCTGAATCAACATTGTATCCTAGTGATTAATGACTATACTTTCTTGTTTAGATTAATTAAATGTCAGTGTTTACTTGGACTGGAAGTTGCAAACTTCCCACCCATATTGACCCATAGGCATGGGACCAGGCAGCACTGTATTTTAAAAAAAATTTAATTAATTGCCACCATTTAAAAATTGAGACATTAAATGTAAAAATCTAGATTTCTGGCTTCTCTTGCAAAATTAGAATCTGATAAGACTGGGTTTGCGTTCCTGCATGTGGGAAGCCAGCTGGAGCTGAGCAGTGGTGAGCCGTTCCCACTGTGCATAAGGTCTCCAATTCACTGGAGTTGCCATCCAGTTCTCTCCACCCATTTACACCACCTGCCTGGGCTGGGTAGACCCTGGAATTTGCACCCTCTGCTTTATACCACCTGCCTCACTTAAAAAATGAGGGAACTGAAGCTGGAGAAGGCTGTCCAAGGAAAAAGAGCTGATGAACTGCAGAACTAGTCTCTTAATTCCTGGTACACTGTTACAGTGTTGCATTTGTTCATTTTAGTTCAGTTCAGGTTTTTACTGAATACCTTATCTTTGCCCAGCACTGAATTGGGCATCATGAAAAGTATAAACGTATGTGTTTCAGTATTGCATACAACTCTTTGATGTCGGTAAGACATTTATACATGCCAATCAAAATTTGCTAATTTATACTGCTGTGAGATAAGATCGTTAGTTGTTATTGATGATGTGTAACATGAGCATGCAAATTTAACCAAATGGATTAAATATAGAGAAATTTAATCATAAAGTAAAGCCTATGTTCCCCTCATCATCACCATTAATTCAGGCAGTTGGTGGTGAGACCTTGATAAGGGAAGCCACATCTGCTTTGGGGGATTACTTCTTAAGTTGCTTGAGCCCTAAGAGAAGTGTCCACTGTACTCTTGTCCTTTCAGTGCACTCGGAGGCTCCTCAGCTCTTCATATCCCAGCTTTTCCAGGAGGAGGATGTCTCATTGATTATGTTCCTCAAGTATGCCACCTGCTCACCAACAAGGTAAAAGTGAATCCCTTGACTCTGCCATCCTATGAGACCCCTCTTTCTCCTGTATAGTACGTGCAGGTACTCAGAACCATCATGCATGTACCGTCCTCCTCCAGCCATCTTCTTTTCAGCCTCCACGTAACATCTGCCTTTCCTGTGTTGCATTACAATTCATCTATTTCTCTCCCTATTTCCTTGCCCTCCTTTCTTCTTTAAAGATTCTAATGTCCTGTTCCAGTCTTATCTTTATCTCTTAACTTGATATCTAGAGATTCAAATATCCTCTTTATTGAATCTGCTTTAAACCTTAAGTTTTTGCTAGATCTTAAACACCTTCTTTTGGTCTTAAATTTTTGAACCCTTTATTTCCCAATTATCTGATATGTTTGTGTGTTTGCCACTAGATGAGATCAGGATAATTCTGAAAAAACAGTCTTCATCTCTTTATGTTTGTCTGTACCCCACTTTTTAATAGGCAGTTCTTGATTCTCCCTGTTAATGTCTGGGAGCAATGTTATACAGTCTTGCTCCTAGCGGCAAGATTTCCATATCAGCTGGTCTTATACCCAGGCACATCAGATTGCCTGGCACTTTCTTCTGCATATATGAGCTGTTACATTGGCAAGTAAGTGAGTTTACTTTAATGATTGTTGTTAGCTATTTCCAAAAAGTGTAAGAATATACATGTTAATGTCCAACCAGTGTGTTTATCTGAAAACTAGAGACAAGCAACACTGTCCGCAAGTAGCACTGGCTCTCTTTCCTCTCCCATGTGGACCGTGACTCAGTTTGTTTAATTGCCAGAGTGCTATTTTCTTTGCTCCTATTGACTTGTTCACATTGGCTTGGAAAATAGATCTTTTGTTTGTCTCTTTTATTCAAGAGATAGCTCATCCCTATACAGAAAATATTTTTAAAGTGCAATAATATCTCAAAGATTTTGTATTATTTTTTAAATGTCAGAGAAACTGATATCTGACAACTCTGCAGCCTATAGGCCTGGCGTAGATTCCAGGGGATTTAATTCTCATGGAGTGGTTGCTTCTCATTGGCCCATATTTCCCCAGCCTCTGCCCTCCTGCAAAACTGATCAGAGGACAGCGTTTTTATTTACATTCTGGGGCTTTGCACTGCCTTCAAATCTGTGTTCCAGTATTATAGAGAAAAATGCAAATGTGTTTTTCCAGAGTTGAGAAGAAAAGCCTTTTTAAAGCTCTCCAATTGAGATTAATTTCTAGTCATACATTTTCCTCAAAAAAATTATAAGACTGTTTTCCCAGAAATACAAGAATCAGTTGGTTTTTCTTATCTGGTTCTCCTTCATTAATTTTACTTGTCTTTTACAATTGATTTTCTTGTGTTTGCTACAAACGAGGACAGTGTGAGTTACTTTTAGAAACAATCTCTTCAAATGAATTAACATAATTACATTGAAATCTATATTTATAGCTAGTTTTGTTGTGGGTTTCTGTTAAAATGGTTTTCTGTTTTTAAAATCAAGTATACAGAACCATTTTCATCTCTTTTTTTAAAACAAAGCCACTTAAGCAAACTTATCATCTGTTTTTTTTTTCCCCAAAACATTTCTGATCTTGCATTAAGCCTGCAAAGTAAGCACTGTTTTTATAAATTGACATAAACCTCTGTTGTATAATAGAATTGTTTTACTTTTAAACGGTACAAATAGCTATCGGTCCCAACTGTGTCAAGGTTATTTCAAGCACTTTATGTGGAATTTGTTAGCCATGGAAACTCAGCGTGACTACAGCCAATATAAATGATTTTGGGGGCTTTCTCTCTTCCATTGTTTCTTTCACCATTATGAGGACATTGTAAGGAATATGTTTTCTTCTTAGAAGCTGATGGGTAAATGATTAACTTTCAGATGCCTAGTTTAATGTATTCACAGTTTGTTTTTTTTTTAGAGAAACTGTCATTTGATGATAATAAGGAAATTTTAAAAGGCAAACTAAAATCTCCTATTATACCACTCATTATTTTGAATATTAGGAATTTAAAAAGGAAGAATTAAGCATTATCCTGCCTTTTCAGTAGGAGTTGTAGTTCGAGATAATGAAATAGCCCCAGCTGATGAGAGAAAGCTCTTCTTCACAGAGAAGGATACCTGATAAATGCAGAGGAATGGTCAAATTCAAAAATCACCATTTTGCAGCCCCTAATGAAATAAATGCAGCCCTAGTGGCGCAGTGGTTAAGAGCTTGGCTGCTAACCATAAGGCCAGCAGTTCAAATCCACCAGGCACTCTTTGGAAACCCTAAACTGGAGCCCTGGTGATGCAGTGGTTAAAGTGCTCGGCTGCTAACCAGAAGGTTGGCTGTTTGAACCCACTAGCTGCTCTGCAGGAGAAAAATGTGACAATCTCCTTCTGTAAAGATTTACAGCCTTGTAAACCCTATGGGGCAGTTCTACTTTGTCCTATAGGGCTGCTATCAATCGGAATCGACTTGACGGCAGTGGGTTTTTTTGTTTAATGAAATAATTGATCCAGACAAGGATCCAACAGATACCAAAACCACGAGGTGAAAGGTTGATGGGGAACTAGATCTTCACATGCTTCAAGAGGTATACCCAGAGATGACTCACTGTGGCGAAGGGGACAGAAATACCTCTTTACAGTAGAAAGGTCTGGCTGTCACCACCTTAGCCAAGTGATCAAACTCAGTACCACCTGTGAAGTTTTCTTGCCAAAAATGTTTAACCTGAATCTAATCACACCGTTAGCTCTAACTTCCAATTTATGAGAAATACAGGGAGTAGAGGAAAAGGAAAGAAACAATCAGAGACTCTAGAGTGCTGTACATTCTACAAGACAATATTTGAAAAGTCAATTTTTTGTGTGTGCATTCATACACACACATGTATGCACACTCAAGGAGGTAATATTATTTTAGATTAAAAAGACTTAAAAGCGTGGTGTAACTTTGGCTATATATATTTTCACTAAAATAAGTTCCTCCAGGTCGAGAAGGGAGAGTGTTGACATGTTGTGGGGTTGTTAACCAATGTCATAAAACAATATGTGTACTGACGTTTCATGAGAGACTATTTGTTCTGTAAACCTTCATCTAAAGTATACTAAAAAAAAATTTAAAAAAAAAAAGACTTAAAAGCCATAAAATACAAATAAAATACCTGATCCTTGATTTTACCCTGCTTCTTTGGAGACAGTTGGGAAACCTCGAAAATGGACAGGTACTAAATAAATTCAAAGAGTGATTGTTTGATCTGTTGGGTATGGTAATTATATTGTGCTTATGTAGGAGAATGTCCTTGTTTTTTGGAGATGCATGCAGAAGTATTTAGGGGCAAACTGTCACGATGTCTCTAATTTCCTTTGAAATGTTTCAGCAAGATTGATAGGTTGACAGGTATATGGCTGCATGAAGCAACTAGGCAAAATATTCACATTTATCGAATATAGGTGGTGGGAATATGAGTGTTCATTTTACTATTCTTTCTACTTCTTTGAAATTTTTCATAATAAAGCATTTAAAAATCTACTATTCTACTTCTCAGCTTTGGGTTCCTATTCCAGGTGCAATATGTAATTCAAGGATATCACAAAAGGAGAGAGTATATCGCTGCTTTCCTCAGTCACTTTGGCACGTAAGTTCTTGTCTGTTTAAAACTGTTATGGCAATGATGCCCTCACTTCCTGATGACCTAGCGTGGGGGCTTGGTTAAGAAAATAGCCCTTAGTTCATATGTATGATGCGTTTTCAATGCCATTTTGATTCTTTTTGGTATGTTGCTTATACTGAAGCTCCCTGGAAGATATATTTTTTAGCAAATAATAGAATCAAATATCTTCCCTGAAATAACATGACTAGCCCCAAACACGACAATGACAATGCCTGTTGTGGAGGGCTTTGCAGTTGGCGTAACATTCTCACCTCCATTGTCTCACTGCAGTCATGCAAGATGAAGCAGGCAGGTATTAGTGACACACGTTACTCAAGAAAGTCCTGAAACTGAGAAATTCAGTAACTAGATGGAAGTCACACTCCTAGAAGAGGTGGAGTCTGGGTGGGACCCCTGTTTCTCTAGGATTCAAGTCTCCTGACAGGAGTGCCACATAGATTTGTTAAGGAAATCTAACACTAGATAAGAAAGCTGTGACTCAAACTTCAGATTAGGAGTTGTAAGAAAGCATGGAGAAGGAAAAAGGAAGTGTGTAACTACAGTTACAGAGGGGCATTTCCCCCGGGGCTGCCCCTCTGTATTTGCCCTGTCCTCCAGGTTCCCAGTGGCTGCGCTGCTCTGCAGCTCTGTTTCTTTAAGTGATGTCAGAGGCCTTACCAAGCTCCTTCAGGGGCTTAGCTCAGTAGGACAGGGGATGCATTTTCCTTAGTCTCCTTTAAAAGGTGGAGCATTCTACCCACATAGGGACAGAGCATTATATTTAGTAGTAGGTAGAGTAGGAGTTTTAGTGGTCTGTTTATACCCCACCTTATTCCAAAGAAAGTTTATAAGTGTATATACAGTAACACATAAAAATTTAAGTAAGTAAAGGGAGAAATTAGGATAAAAGGAAAGCAGGAATGGGAAAGAAAATGAAATCAAGAACAAGATTAGCCATTCCATGGAAATTAATTTCACAAACTGTAGCAAAAATATAAGCAAAATTTATGTCTTCTCAAAACAATGTCAAGACATTTTCTTACTATCCATAGTGAAATTTTTTTATTCCTCCAAAACAGTAGTGTCAATAAACAGTATGACTGTCTCTCGCATGAGTCTTTACTAAAGTTTTTTTGTTTTATTTCTGAACATTTTGTGAAAGTATTTTTGATAAGAACAGTAGTTGATAAATGACACCATTGGTCTTCTAAGTTTTGAGTAAGATTCTCCAGAATATGTAGTTGAAAATGAAGAAGCTAGCACAGTGACCTCCAAAATAGGGTGCGTGCATTCCAGGGGTTACACAATTTACTGTATTGGTGTACAAGAAAAGTATGAAAATTGCATTTATAATTATTTTTAAATCTTATTATTTTTAAATGTACGTTTTTGTGTTTTTTAATTATGCTTATAATACAGTCATAGAGTTGTTGCTGTTAGTTGCCATCAAGTCGATTCTACCTCATGGAGACCCCATGTATGCAGAGTAGAGCTGCTCCATAGGTTTTCAAGGCCATGACCTATCAGAAGCAGATCATCAGGCCTGTCTTCTGAGGCACCTCTGGGTGGGTTCAAACTGCCAACCTTTCAGTTAGTAGCGAAGCACTTAACTGTTTATGCCACCCAACTGCATAGAGTTGTACTTGTATATGTAGTTTTTGTTGTTGTTAGGTGCTGTCAAGTTGGTTGTGACTCATAGCGACCCCATGTACAATAGAACGAAACATTGCCCCGTCCTGTGCTATCCTCACAATCGAGTACTTGTATGTAAAAAACCAAAAACCAAACATGTTGCTGTCGAGTAGATTCCAACTCATAGTGACCCTATAGGACAGAGTAGAACTGTCCCATAGGATTTCCGAGGAGCGGCTGGTGGATTCGAACTGCCGACTTTTTGGTTAGCAGCTGAGCTCTTAACCACTGCACCACCAGGCTCAACTTGTGTATAACTACTATTAAATCATGTACTTTGCTACTCTATGTGTTATGTGCATAATAAAAAAGAATATGTGCTTGTTTTTGCTGATGGGATACAGGATCTAAAAAGTTTAGATATCAGGGTTATAACATACTGGGTTAATTATGAATTCATAGAAAGAAATATAAACTGGTGAGTAAAATCACTGATTTAAGTCAGAAGATCTGAATTGCGTACCAACTATCTTTGAGCAAATCACTTAGTCTTTGTTGTCTCAATTCATTTATCTATACAATGAGTACAGCTGTACCTTCCTACTTAAACTGGGAGGTCTTCAGTATCAAAGATCTGATTCACCTAACTTGCCCAGGGAGAAGGCAACACTGAGGACATCAAAGGCCTCTTTGTTTGGAAAAGCCAAACCAAATCCATTGCCGTTGAGTTGATTCCAACTCATAGCAACCCTGTAAGACAGAGTAGAACTGCCCTACAGGGTTTCCAAGGCTGTAATCTTTACAGAAGAAAACTGCCACATCTTTCTTCTGTGGAGCAGCTGGTGAGTTTTAACCACTAACCTTTGGTTAGCAGCCAAGTGCTTAACCACTGTGCCACCTGGGCTCCTGCTTTGTATGGAAGAGAGACACAATTATTCCCATCCTCCATATGTGGTTAGTATTGCCCCATGGTGACATGCCTCTGAGGGAAGGGGCTGAGGTGAGCCTACCAGAATTCTGCCTGGCCCCTTTAGCGACCGTCAGGTATTCTCCTTGACATCTGAGGTACACCTCCCATCTGACCCCAGTGTTCACCCAGCTAACACTGCTATTTGTCTTGAGCCCTGTGAGGGGAACTGGAGGAACACAAGTGAGAAGATTCCAAGCACTATGGAAAAAAAGTAATACATAATCCTAAACTTACTAATATTGTCATTGCTCATTCCTGTTTAGTGCCCACTGAAAGTGAGCCTTAACCATCACTGTACAGGCAATGTGGTGACTTCTTAATTTTTCGTTTTACTAATAACTAACATTTACATAGTATTTTATGATTTATCTTACTTGTTTTTCACAACCCTGTGATGGAGTTTGCAGTATTATTCTACTTGTTTTACAGATGAGGAAACTGAGGCTCCAAAGATTAAGTGATTTGTCTGAGGTCCTAATAGTAAATGGCAAAGCTGTGACTTGAAACTAGTTGTTCTCATTCCAAATCCCATGCCCTTCCTAATCTAGCACACTCACTCGCCTTTTGCATTTTGAATTAAATAACTCTGACTTTATTAATATATTCTTCACTAAGTCCTAACTCATTTATACTTTTGTTTTTTGCTTGTATGTATGTTTTAATTACTTAGAGGTGTCGTGGAATATGATGCAGAAGGCTTTACAAAACTCACTCTGTTGCTGATGTGGAAAGATTTTTGCTTTCTTGTACACAGTAAGTATACTTTTGCTATCAGCGTATATTTAAAAATGTTCTAAACCACATGTAGTTATAAGTATGAGAACCACTAATGTCTTGAATTTAGCATATGTATATATTTTTTGTGGTCTTAAAGAGAAAATATCTCTAGATCAGTAGTTCTCAACTGGGAATGATTTTACCCTCCAGGGGACATTTGGCAATGTGTCTGGAGACTTTTTGATAGTCACACATGGGGGGTTGCTACTGGCATCTCGTTGGTACGGGCCAGGAAAATTGTTAAACCTTCAGTGCATAGGACTGCCTCCTATAACAAAGAATTATCTGGTCCAAAATGTCAGTAGTGCCAAAGTTGAGAAACCCTACTGTTATGGATTGAATTGTGTCCTCCCAAAATGTGTGTTAGCTTGGCTAGACCATAATTCCCAGTTTTGTGTGGTTGTCCACCATTTTGTGATCTGATATGGTTATCCTGTGTGTTGTAAATCCTAACTTCTATGATGTTAATGAGGCAGGATTAGAGGCAGTTATGTTAATGAGGCAGGACTCAATCTACAGGATTAGGTTGCATCTTGAGTCAATCTCTTGAGATATGAAAGAGAAAATCGAGCAGAGAGGAAAGGGACCCCATACCACCAAAAAGGAAGAGCCAGGAGAAGAACGTGTCCTTTGGACCTGGGGTCCCTGAGCTGAGAAACTAGTAGACCTAAGGGAAGATTGATGACAAGGACCTTCCCCCAGAGCCAACAGAGAAAGCCTTCTTCTAAAGCTGGCACCCTAAATTCGGACTTCTAGCCTCCTAGACTATGAGAGAATAAATTTCTGTTTGTTAAAGCCATCCACTTGTGATATTTCTATTATAGCAGCACTAGGTAACTGAGACACCTAACCTAGACAGATTTCTGTTTCAAAGCATCTTTTCAGAATCAGGTCTCAAAACTTACAGGACTACTTAAAACATCCTTGCTTTGACCATTTGGTTATCATCCTTATTAAATGAAAAGTCTACAACTTTGATAATATGTAATATACAACTTAAAGTGGGGCAGTGTTTTAATGTGTTCTGCACATCACTTTCATTGCTCTTCTACATTGTATTTAAATGTTTGTTGTGTTACTAATCAATAAATAAACACTGGTCCAGCTTGCCCTTGATGAATAATTTAGTCTCTTTTGTTTACTTCCTTGTTATATAAGAAGTGACATGGTGCCAAGTTCAAGTTGCAAGTCAGTCAAGACCTTTATTCTTGAGTAGTTTGGTCTTCAAGCCAAAGTCAAAGGAGTCCCAGCTTTTCCAGCTCATGTTAGATAAGTGCAGCGGGTTTGGGTTGACTTCACTCAGTCAGAACTATCCTGTACCTTAATAAACTGGTTTAGGAAGAGAAGCTTTGGCCCTGTGTAGCCAAGGCATCCAATAGTCAAAAATACTGACTTTGGGAGACTTTTCTTCCCCAGCAGATTTACTTTCTTGGTTTGGATTTGCTTAGGCTAAAATAGTATTTAAATTAGTTTGTCTTACTTTATTTCACATCAACAGATAATGAGGAAAGAAACCGAAAAATGTACATAGTGGTAAAAGGAAGAAAGCCTCTAATTAAAACCTTACCATGGTATAATCCACACAGAGATAATTAAGAGCTGGCTATACTTTAAGGAGTTGGCCCTCCCTGCCCTTTAGGTGTTACCCAACTATTACTATTTTGTAAAGCAGGGACTTGTATTGAGCTCCTATTTGGTAGCTATTCATAAATTAGGGCCATCTTTTAAAATGCATCTGAAAAATGCAAACATATCACTTTATATTAATTATGTAAATAGATAAACAGAGAGTTGGAGAGGTAAAGATTTTAATCCTGGGTGTGCCTCTGACTAATTATGTGCCCAGTTCAAATGACTAGGACAAGCCTCCTCTGCTTTAGTTTCCTCATATGTACACTGGTTGTCAGGTCCCGCAGAGACGTAGGCACATGGAGCTCAACCTGTGAGATGGAACATGGTAGAAGAGGAAGCTTCACAATTAAGGCCTCTTGGCCATCTTCTCTTTGCTCACAATATTGTGTGGCCCTGCTAATTTGAGCCAAATCCTGGTGCTTCTAGCCACCACTTTTGGTTCTGACCTGTGTCACTGCTTTGGCTTTGCATTCTGATTCTTAATTCCTTTGTGAGATCCCACTTTGTGTTTGCATATTCACTTCACCCACTGCTTTGATCTTAATGTTTCTGTTCCTAGTCTGATCACTTGATCCCAGATCCTGACTGCATCCTTGGTTTGTCTCTTATGATCCTGGATAGTTGCCATGTGTAATTCCCCTAGCCTAGCTCAGCAAGAGGGACCTGCATTTTGCCTTGAATGGTGGTGGTGGGCATCAGATGCCCCAGAGAGTTGCTGTGGCCATCCCCATCAAAAGAAGGACAATTGCAAAGTATTTTAAAGAAGTATTAAATTAGATGACTACTTCATCCAGTTACTTTATCCCAAAGTTACATGAAATGTGAACTCTTTTCTGCAACTTATTTTGGTCTCCTAGCCATTATTCTACCTTCAGTTGATGTCAGGTCATACCAAATATCAGAGAAAAATATCTTCTTGGTATTGTTTAGTTCTAACCTGTGTTTTCCACATGTAACTCAAGGATGACTATTCTGGTGGTAGCCAGGAAGAGGAAATTGTCATGTGGAGTGACGTTTAGAGATAAAATAGAATTCGCCTCTCAGATAGCTCCTGCCAACTCTCTTGTCAACCCATTCAGTGTTATAGCAATTCTCGTTGCTTTTGAAAGTCTGTTCCCCACACAATAGTTTCTCCATGATATCACGTGTCTAGCATTCTTATGCTCGCTCCCCACCTTCCTATTTTAGCTTTTCCAGGTCAGACATGTAAAATTGAATCCCAAAGTCATATTTTCACTTCATTTTGAATTACCTTCTTCAGAAACATGGAACCCCCAGGCACTCATTAAACAGTTACAAGGGACTTTGGGACTTGCTTAGTTTACTTTTTCCAAGTGTTTCCTCAAGCTGTTATTCCTTTGCTCCCCAGGCTGTTAGTTCCTTGTCTCTTAGCATCATTGCCCACACTCTGTGCTCTTCTTACGGATAAAACCTAGTCTATGAATCAAGGAAGTTTGGATTAGTTTCCTCCTCCCTCACTAACTCACAGCCTGTTTTTAGATTAATTATTTCTACCCTTTTGCTTCTTTCTTAGATAAAATGTAGGACTTGCTACGTCAGAGGGAAGCTTGGTAGACAATGTGTTTTACTCAGTCATGCAGTTAAGCATTTGACACTTACCTGTCTTTGGAAGCATCTGCTTGCTTGGTTTCAACACCCAAGGGAACACTTTTTCCTTTTTTTCTTTCCATGAAAATAAGGAGGTGAATATTGAGTGATAGAGACTCAATGATAGAACATTGTGGTGAATTATTCTGAGATATCAAGCACATGAAAAAGGAGGAAGAAAGTTCCTGGAGATGAAGCCAGTCTTCTGTGGGTGGCTCCACTACTTCATGGAGGTTGAAGACTCAGCAGGACACCAAATGGCATCTCTTCTCTGACTTCCCTCTTTGTTCTCCAAGGCTCAGAAAGACAACTGTGGATAGGACAGGTGCTGGCAATAATTGCGAGCATTTGAGATGCTAGAGGAAAGAGATACCCCTCTCTTGAGGCAGACAGCTCTGACCTCAAACCTTGTGAGCGTATGCGGAAGCAAGAATGCCCTAGAGAAAAACATTGTACGTACATATTCTGGGGTCTCTCAGGAGACACTGCAACATCCTGGCATTCTGCCTGTTCCAGGAGTGAGGACTGTGGCTGTGATTATAGTCATGGAGCTTTTCCATCCATGTATTCCTTCCTTCCTTCATCTATTATCAACGTGTCTTAAGACTTGGAACTCAACAGGATCAAGGACTTGCTCCAACCCAGAAGACTGTTTCTGGGAAGGTTTCCTGGCCATCAACTAAGAATTATTCATAGTGGTTGTGTAAGTACTTCCATTTTTGCCAAGTAATCCCAAGTGTAAGTAATTCCATATTTGCCAAGTCGATTTTACCTCTGGAGGTAGATGTTATCTGTAAGCTAGCAGCTTTTCAGAATGTGGCAATGGAAAGAGGACCAGATAGCAGGCCATAGTAACAAAAAACAAAAGCAACCACTGGGGAAAACGCAAGCTCTTTGTCATGGACCCTAGTCAGCTGCACTGTAAGTAGTCCTAAGAGGAGGCAGCTACCTAAGGTAGCAGAGTTGCTGCTTGGAAGGGGAGGGAGTTGGGGTCTATGACTTCCAGGGCAATGTAGAGAGTCTGTGACTGAGAAGCTATCTTTCCCCATTACCTGTAAATCCTTGTAAAATGACCCTTTGAGTCACCCAGCCTGGACCGTAGGCCATGTCTCCCCGGGCAAAATGCCTATTAGACCAAATCTGACCATTTTAGGCTGCTCCATTTCATTTCTTCCCTGCCCCCCCCACCCCCATCAACTCAACTCAAGTTAACTGAGTTTAGTGAGATCCTACTACGTGCTCTGTCCTGTGCTAGGTACTAGGGGATACAAGTAAATAATTCAGGCTTGACTTTAAGATGCTTACAGTCTACCACAGGGGTTGGGAAACTGCAGTCTGTGGGCCACATCCCACCTTCAGTAGGTTTTTATATGGTCCTCAAGCTAAGAGTGGTTTTTACACTTCTAAAGCATTGTTAGGAAAAAAAAAGAAACAATGAAGAAAAAGAATATGCAACAGAGAAAGTATAAAACCTGCAAATCCAAAAATATTTACTATTTGACACTTTACAGAAAAAGTTTGCCAACCCCTGGGCTAGTTCATGAGAAGAGATTAGAAGAAGGTCAAGTACAATGGTATTTATTTTTTAAAGCAAATATTTTGTGAACTTGCCTACTATGTGTGGGGCACAAGTGTTTTATATATATATACATATATATATACATATATATGTATATATATATAGTTATGTAGTAGTTACATAGTTATATAGTTATATATATATATCACATAGTTATATATATCACTTTCATATATGTACATATATACATAAAACACCCACTGCCGTCGAGTCGATTCCAACTCACAGAGGCCCGATAGGACAGAGTAGAACTGCCCCGTAGGGTTTCCAAAGCTGTAATCTTTACAGAAGCAGACTGCCACATCTTTTTCCCACGGAGCAGCTGGTGGATTCAAACCACTGACCTTTTGGTTAGCAGCTGAGCATTTTAACCATTGCACCATCAGGGCTGTACACACACACACACACACACACACACACACCACACATACATATGGACAAATATAGCAGGGTTAAAGAAAAGCAAAAAGGATGATTAGGAGCAGCAGGGAGTTATTACCAATCCTAGGCCTGCATGGGCAAGAGGAGGGCTGGAAAGAGCTACAGCTGTAGCTATAGGAGAGGACTATGCGGCAGGAGCTGGGGAGGGCCTTTGGTAGAGGAATGTAGCTACTGCCAACCTGTAGCCCTGCAGGAATAAATACCCTGACTTCTCTCCCTACTTTGGGTCTCCAACCTGGACTGAGCTCAGAGGAACTTCAACATCTGCAAGTCCAGCAAAGGAGGAGGAACTGGCAAAGGAAGCTGAGTAGGGGCAAATGGAGTTAAGGAGGAAAACTGAGAAAATATACTATCACAGAAGCTGAGAAAGGAGAGTATCTCAGGAAGACTTTGGGGTCTTGACAAAATTAGTGTCAATAGAGTGATGGATGCAGAAGCCAGGTGGGAATGGATTTAAGAGTGAATAGAAATTTATATATACATATATGGAAAGGGCAAAAGAGTGAGTGGAGGTGTGGAAATGGAGACAGCATGTAAAGGTAACTTTTTCTACAAGTTTGTGAAAAGGAGCTGAAAATACAGCTGTAGCTAAAAGGAGATTGAGTACCTACCATGTACTAGGCATTGTTCAAAGTGCTGAGGCTATAGCAGTGAATCAAACAAAGTACATGCCTTTATAGGGTTTACATTTTAGTTGAGGGAAAGAAATCTTTAACAAATATATAAAATGTTAAGAGAAATCATTCAAGGAAGTTTTTTGGTTTTTGTTTTTTTTTTAAAGGGGAAATAATACAACATAGTTTGTACACTGATGGAAATGATCTAGTAGAGAAGGCGGGACTGAAAAGATGGTGATAACGTGGAGAAGTGGAATCCTTCATCATGTGCAGTTACTTAATGTGCTAAGTGCTAGAGCTATTCGTACTACTGGAATTCAAACAACTCGAGAGATCATTGTAAGTTGAGTAGTTGAGAAGGCACCATGGAGGAGGCAGGGACTGAACTGAGACCCAAAAGACTGGAAGAATTTGGACAAGAAAGGTGGTCTCAGTGAGGGGATCAGTATGAGCCAAGGAACAGAAAGGTAGGGATGATCCTAGTCCTTTGCAGGTGGTGAGATAGATAGATGGGTGTTGGAGAAATAATCTTGGATCAGTATGGTAGGGCCAGACTATGGTGAGTCTTGAATGTCAGAGTGAAGAATTTGGGTTTTGTCTATGGGCTGTGGGGAGCCATTTAAGGATATTAAGCAGAAAAATTATATGGTGCAATTAGTGTTTGAGGGAGGTAGACCCATGATATAGTGCAAAAACCAGAACCCTGTACTACTTTCAGCTATCCCTGTGGGCAAGTAATTCACTCTTTGAGACAAAGTTTCGCCTTATGTAAACAGGAAGTGTCTTCACAAATTGATTGCAGGAATCATATGAGGTTATGTGTAAAAGTGCTTTGTTAATGGTAAAGTGATACTTAAATGTTGTCATTAGTATTGCTGACACTGTGCAGAATGGATTGGACGGTGAAAAGTGGAGGTGCAGAGATCAGTCCCTTCTCCTACTCACAGTGCCCCCTTGATAATCTGATGAAAATTGGGGACCTTTCCACAGAAAATACCTTCTGTGTGTTAGGTTTGGCTGCATGTAACAGAAAACCCAAATTTTCAGTGGCCTAAGCAAGACAGAAATTTGTTTCTCTCACATGCAAGAAGTCTGGGAAGCTAGTTTGGGGCTTGTAAAGTGGCACCACAGTCATGCGGACCAAGGCTCGTCTGGTTTTCTGCTCTGCCTATCTAAGGTGTAGCTTACAACCTGTAGATCTCTCGTGGTCTAGGATGGCTGCTGGAGCCATAGTCCAGGAAAAAGGTAATGGGAAGGGAAGGACAAAAGGACCCTCCTCCCAGCTAAGTTCATCCTTTATGGAGATTCACATCACACTTCTGTTTACCTCTCAGTCAGAATGTCATCACGTGGCCACAGGTAGCTCAGGTACCAGAAGGTGGGGAGATTTAAATATGAGTGGCAACTAGAAATCTCTGGCACATGGCTGTAATCACACATTTTGCAGATAATTTCAAATTCCAAGATAACTCAGAAACTCCTTAGGGATCCATGAATCCCCAGGTTAAACCTCACTCTAGCTTTCTTCACTGCGTTCCAGGACCATATTTCCCAGTTTTAGGTTTCTTTTCTTACGTGGACCATTCCTTTTTCAACAGTTTCGGCCATTGTCTTATTTGCTTGAACCTGGAATGGGAACTACTGTACTAGTGAACTTTCTAGATTCTTTCTTAGCTGTATGTGTGTGTTTGTATGTTTAACAGCTTTACTGATGTATAATTTTATAATTTACATGCTATAAAAGGCATTCATTATAAGTATACAATTCAATTATTTTCTTAGTAAACTTATACAGTTGTGCAGTCATTACCACAGTCCAGCTTTAGAACATTTTCATCACCCCAGAAGGTTCCATTGTCCTCATTTGCAGTCAGTCCTTATTCCCACCCTCAGCCCCAGACAACTGCTGATTTTCTTTCTGTCTCTAGAAATTTGCACTTTCTAGAAATTTGATATAAATAGAATCATACAATATGTAGTCTTGTTTCTGGCTTCTCTCACATAGCATAATGTATTTGAAGTTCATTCATAGTGTTGAGTATATCAGTATTTCATTCCTTTTTGTTGTTTTTTAAATTATTTTTATTTTTATTACTTTTTATTCCACTGTATGGATATGCCACATTTTGTTTATCCATTCACAGTTTGACAGATATTTGGACTGTTTTCAGTTTGGGGCTATTATGAATAATGCTACTCTGCATAGTCATGTACGAATCTTTTCGTGCACTTTTTTTTTTTTTTTTTCATTTCTCTTGGGTAGATACCTAGGATTAGAAATGCTGGGCTGTGTGGTAGTGTATGTTTAACTTTTTAAGAAACTCCCAAACTGTTTTCCAAAGTGACTATCATTTTACATTCTCACCAGCAATGTATGAAGGTTCCAGTTTCTCTACATCATCATCATTAATACATCTCTACATCATCATTAATACTTGGTATACTCAAACTTATTTATTTTAGTCATTGTTTATAATAGTCTCTTATAATCATTTTAATTTTTTTAGACTCTATAGTGACCCCACCCCACTCCGGTTATTCCTGACTCTGTGTTTTCTCTCTTTTTTTCCTAGATAATTTTGTTACTCTTATCAACGAACCAGCTTTTGGTTTCATTGATTTTCTCTATAGTGTTTGTTTTCTGTTTTTATTTATTTGTTTCTACTTACTTTGGGTTGATTTCCTCTTCTTTTTTCTAACTTCCTGAGATGGAACCTTAGATTATTGATTTTATATCTCCCTTTTTAATATAAGCATCTAAAGCTTTAAATTTCCCTATAAACACTACTTTAGCTATATATCACATGAAATTTTGTTATGTTGTGTTTTAATTTTCATTCAGCTCAAAATATTTTCTCATTTCTCTTGTTACTTTTGTCTTTTGCCCACAGGTTCTTTAGAAATGTGTTGTTTAATTTCAAAATATTTGGCATTTTCCACATTTATTTCCTTTGTTGATTTCTACTTTAATCATTACGGTCAAGGAACGTAGATGTATGATTCAGTTCTTTTAATTGTGACTTGTTTTACGGCCTAGAACATGGTCTATCCTGGAAGATGTTCCATATGCGCTTGAGAAGAATGCGTATTCTGCTGTTGTTGGGTACATTGTTCTATAAATATCAGTTAGATCAAGTTGGTTAATGTTGTCAAGTCTTCTACATACTTGCTGGTTTTCTGTTGTTTCCCTATCAATCACTGAGAAGGATACTGAAATCTCCAACTATAATTGTTAAATCATCTATTTCTCCTTTCAAGTCTATCAGTTTTGTTGTTAGGTGCATAAACATTTATAATACTTGTAACTTCCTGATGTATTAACTCTTTTATCATTATGAAATGTCCTCCATTGTCTCTAGTAATGTTTCTTGTCTTAAAGTCTATTTT